ACTGTTCTTCAATGTTTAATTTATGTTTGAATAAATCCATCAAGTTTTTATGACAGCCACCATTTTTTTTATTGAAGTAGAAATATTATTATGCAATTGTAACTTTATTATTTTAAAAACTTAATTGTGTAATTTTAACAAATCAGTCAATTTTAACCTTCAGTATTATAGTAATGTAGTACCAACTGACTCTCGTGTATATTTTACAGCATTAGTGGAGAGATTTTTTTTTTCCTTGAGAAAATTTGGCATGTACTGTAGGCCTACATGATATATATCCAAAATAATCTATATCGAATCGAATCGGTATTCGAATCGCAAGCTTGTGAATGAAAATCGAATCGAATCGTGAAATTTGTGTCAAAACCCAGCCCTAGTGTTTTCCCACTGATAAAATATGACAACAGACATTTTAGAAAGGTTTTAATTATACTAATACTTCAGCAAGAGCTGAAACGATCTGCAATAGCAACTGCGGGAGGTAGTTTCACACTGCAAAAATCAAATATTTGCTATCAAATATGACTTATTTCTTGTTAGAAAATTTCACATTGAAAAGTAAATAAAAATTAAATTAAAATAAAATAATAAATACAATAAAATTTCAATATTTGCTCAATAAATTTCTTTAATAAAATAATCATTTATTGTTTGTTTTTGTTTGATTGACTCTTGGGAAGTTCAGTAGTATGAAACAAATATTCAGCTCTAATAAGATAAAAGACAAAGATGGGAATAAAACGGCCTATTAGGTAAGGATTCAGATGATAACAATAAAATTAAAGAAATAAATGACAAAACTGTTTTGAACATTTAAAATTTACGTTTTTTTCCCACAAATTATAGAAGTGTGTCATATAATATCAAACACAAATTACACTGTACAGATGATTGTTAAGAAGAACTCAAATCTTTTATGTTGACTTAAAGGCAATGAAAGCACAACATCAGAGACATTTTGAAAATATGTTTTTCCTATAATATTTTTTACTCTATAAAAGCACTCATAATCCCTCATTTAAGATAAAACCCCGCTCCTGTGTGTGCTGTGTTAGCACAGGGAGAACCGGCGAGAGTTGATGTTCATCTTGGTGACCCCGATGACCTTGAGCGGCGCCGAGAGGCCTAATCCAGGAGACATGGGGACATCACACAATTCAGACATATCGTCCCGCTCCTCCAGCTCAAACGTGGCGTCGTTCAGCATCTTGCGATGTTGGTTACACGTCTGCACGATTCTCAGATTGTTAATGTCACTGCGCAGGCACATTAGCTGACGCGCGAGCTGCTGGTCCTGCAAACGCATCTCTTCCTGCGACAGAAGGGAATAAAGAATGTAAACAGCTACTAAAAAACGAATATCCTGTAGATATAATGCATTTTGTGTGGCATTTCTGCAGCACTCGTGACAGTAAATGGAGATGTAAAACTAATAATTGTTTCCAAACAGGTTTCCAGCCTTCTCTTCAGACAAAATCTGCCATTATTCAGAAAACAGGTTGAAACTGAGGTTGACATTTCAAGTTGCTTAAACTAGTGGTGTGGATTTTGATTCATACCTGTGAATCTTTTCATACAATTCACCACGATTTTATTTTTCTGATTTGTTCTTTCAGTGGCCCTTTACATTGTTTCACCAGAATGTGCCGTCAAATGTCTATGAAGCAGTGATTCGTTCACTGAACTGTTTTGTTAAAAATGGCCAATATATTAAAATGCTGATCCAAATAAATAATAATAAAAATATAGAATAAAAATAATAATAATAATTTATAGAAATTGGCAATTTTTTATTTTTTATATGTGCTATATATATTGTTTACTATGCATTTTACCCACAAATGATTTTTTATTTTTTTTTTCATTTACTTGTACAGAAACCGAGCTGAAAAACTCACCAGCTGTTTCCTGAGCCACTCCAGTGCTTGGTCAATGCTTCCGAATCCCAGTGTGTTTCCTGACGGCTGCCTCCCTTCATGAACCACACTAATGCCCAGCGACGGCTTCGTCCACTTCACGGGCCGTGACGTTCTCTGTTTCTCGGGGTCACCAGGGGCCGCTGACGGCTCTGAGTCTCTGTGGCTCTGAGCGTGCATCGCCTCCAGCTGCACTCTCCAGTCCAGGTAAGACGGCTTTCTCGTCTCCAGTTTGAGCTTCTCAGTCAAAGCCTTCAAACTGGAGAGGTGGTCAACCTGCGATGCAGCAAGGCTTTCTGGGGTCTTCGATGCATGTGACATTGCCACTGGCTTTACACAGTGTTGCTTACAGGGAAACTAAAAAGCATTCAGTGAAAAATCTGGATAAGTTGGCAGACCGACATCATATTGTTTGAGAAACCTGGATCCATGGACGCAAACATGCAATTATCTTTTGTATTAGAGAGCTTTTATATCACACACATTAGTTATGATTCATTCCTGAAGATGATATAAAAACATATATTTTCATTTTTTTTGCTCTCAGTGTCGTTGAACTTCTTTTGCAGTTTCTCCGCAGACAATGTTTCACTTCTATGACTGTTGAAATAATGAGGCATCTGAAATATAAAAGAAACAAAAATAACATAAAACTATGCAGGAAGCAAATATTGAAATCTACTGTAGCCTAGGTTTTGATGTGCCAAACTGTCTAATAATATCAAATACAAATCGTCTTGTAAAAGAAAACATACCTGTGCAGTTCTGTAATGATGACAGTTTATAACAACACATAGTGCACTAACACTTGTTTTGCTAGTTAGTCTTCTTTTATAATAAGCACTTCCTTGTAATTTTGTTCTTGCCTCATCGTTGACTCTTGTAAAATGAGAAGCGGTAATCCTTGTGAATCTTACAAACAAACATGCCCTGTGTTTTAGTTGCACTGGAAAAGTGTTATTTTAGCATCATTAAGATACTATTATAGTTTGTTGATATTATTTTAATTAGATTTTATTTTTATATTTTCTGTTTATCATTTTGCTGTGTGTTTTGTCTTGTTTAACAAATATGTCTTTATAGTTTTATTAAGTTTTAGTTTATTTGGTTTGTAGTTATTTTAGTACTTAAACTAAATGAAAATGAGAAATGTTGTCTTGGCAACTAAAATATATCAAATAAATTTTTTTCATGTCTGTGAATTAGTGATTATTTCACTGATCTGATTTGTTAAAAAAAAACAATGAGACCATAAGTAAAAACAATAAATACTTTGTTTCTGTATAAATAAATTAAAAATAATTCTGCTTTGTATATTTTCTGTTTTCATTTTAATTTTAGTCTAAGTTTTAATAATTTTATGTTTCTTTGTCATTTTTAATATTTCTATTTATTTTTTAAAATACATCTATATATTTTATTTTTAGTTTATAGCTTTAGTAATTTTAGTACTTCAACTTAAACTAATTAAAATAAGAAATGTTGCCTTGACAGTTAGCTGAAATGAAATAAGTTTAAGATTTGGTTTAATGTCTACTTTATTTTAAGTAATGAATGAGTTGACGCATCCATCATATGATACAACATAATGAGTGAACAGCAGCTTTTGCATAAATGGATGAACAGATGCATTGTAAACTGCACAAAGTATTTATCGTGGTGACAATTTGTCTGCTTTTTGCGCAGGTGATTTGTGCAACATATCATGCAGTCAATTCATTACAGTCAGGAGATGCCCAGATACCTCTTACATGACAGTATCACTTAATGGCCAATTTCGAATTGGTTCCAAATTAGGATTATGAAATTCTATTAACATTCTTTTAGGAATTCTGACAAGCAGCACAATTACACAGTTAAGACTTTCTTCAAATGCATAAGTCATATATAGAAGCAGATTGTTTACATGTGATATTGGTCACAGTCTGCTGGACTCATATGACTGTGGTGGAGGTTGAGCGGTGAACTAGGACACAGCAGCTGCCTGCTAAACTGGGAACCCCTTGAGTCCAGCGCGTTTCTGAGTGATTCTAGTTCTAATGAGAGTCCAAACAGCTGATAAAAACATCACAATAATCCACAAGTAATCCACACCACTCCAGTCCATCAGTTAACATCTTGTGACAAAAGCTGAGTGTTTGTAAGAAAAAAAATCCATCATTAATGTGTTTCTGGCCAAAATACGCTTCCTCCAGTGAAAAAATCCATCCCGGTGAAAAAGTTTTGAACTGTTTCCACTAGTAAAAGGTGCTTGATCTGTGCATATTTCTCTCCTGATTGAGATGACTTTTTCACTAGAGAAAGCAATATTATAGATTATGGATTTATATTTTAGCCAACTGTTTGAAGTTAAAAAGTATTTTATATTAAATAATTGTATGTTATCTATTATTTATATATTATTAATTAAAATAATATTTTTCATTAAAAGACATACATCAATACAGAGTTTATAAGGTAAATAGTGTATGACAGTGACAGTTTTCTTACTCTCTGACTGGTTCCTTGATCCTAACCAGGTGAAGAGAATAACTAACCTGCAACTGACCTGTTTGTGTAGTTTATTAATCTTAAGGACATTTCATTAAAGATCATTTAGGTCAAACAACAGCCTTAATTAATGCACAGATCTCTCTAAAAACTAATACTCGTATTTTCTTAGACGAAATCAGCCTCGAGATCATTTCTACAAATACAGTAT